TATCGTGGACAAGACCGCCACCTTTGTGGCTCGCAACGGCGTGCAATTCGAGGCCAAGATCAGGGGAGATGAGAGGGCGAATACGAAATTCGCATTCTTGAACCCGGAAGATGCGTATCATGCCTACTATAGGGCTAAGATCCAATTCGTGCAGAGCGGAGATGGACCGCTGGCCAAGGACCTGATTGGACAAGGCGCGGAAAGGGGACAATTGGTTGCTAGGGATGGAGTGGAGACGATCGAGGAGGAAGATGCGGGCAAGAGGGGCAGGGAGGATAAGCTCAAACCCGAAGAGCCTCGTCAGCATCTCTTTGAGGCTGATCTGCCAAACATCACCGCCGTCGACCTGTGAGTGTGCAGCGCGCTGCGTATCCACTCGATTCAGATCACGAGCCCACAGTCTCATCTTACCTACTCGTCACCGCCTACAGTGACGTGCTAAAGCTCACAGCGCTGTTCACGGCTCGCAAGGGAAAGTCCTTCGCATCTGCCCTTGCTGCTCGAGAATCTTCTTCTTATCAGTTCGACTTTCTCCGCCCATCGCACTCGCTCTTTGGCTACTTCAACAGGATGGTAGAGCAGTACAGGCTGGTCATTCAACCAACCGAGGATATTCTAGAGCAGCTGCACGAGCTTGCACCCGAAGGGCCAAAGCCTGCTTTGGGTCCTGGAAGAGGAGGAGGTAGAGTAAAGGTGCTTGAGAATGCCAGGAAGAGGGCCAAGTATGAGAGGTGGGTCAGGGAGAGGCGCAAAGCCAAGGAGAGCGAGGAGGAGAGCCAGCGAGGTGAGTGATCCAACCAGAGATCCTCATCTTTGCGAGAGGCTCAGCCGCTTACCTGTCGCCCCTTTTCGCCTCACTCCAGCCCTCTTCGACTCGATCGATTGGCAAGACTTTGTGGTGGTACAGACTGTCGAATTGACAGAGACTGATGCGCACATAGATTTGCCGCCTCCCATGTCTCTGCGGGATGTGGAGAACATGACGATCGCTCAGAAGCGCATGGCAGCCATGATCATGGAGGTTGAAGGAGGAGGAGACGAGTCGGAGCTGATGGGCGGCATGATTGACATCCCTGGTGGATCAGGAGACGCTGCAAGGGCTGCAGCTGCTAGCGCCACCAAAGCTGCTTCGAACGCTCTACCGCCTGGTATGGACCCGCAGAGAGCTAGCATGCTAGGCTTGCAAGCGTCTGCTGACGTGCCGCAAGAAGATGAGGGAGACATTGAAATGGATATGGACGACGATAGCGGCGATGAGAAAGCGGTAGAAGAGGCGCCAGCTGTCCAGTACGAGGAGATCAAGCGAGCAGAGGGTCAAGCGCCTATACGCGTGCGCAAAGATTACGTGCCAAAATCTCTCGCGGCCAAGAATGCCGCCGTGGCGCAAACGACGAAGTGTCCGGTCTGTGGAGATCAGATTGCGATATCGGAAATGGACGAGCATGTGCGCGTCGAGCTGCTCAACCCGAAATTCAGGGAGCAAAGGCGGGATCTGGAAGCCAAGCAAGCTCAACAGAAGGCTTTGCTGGAAGGTGCAGATCCATCACGTGCCCTCAAGCAGTTCGCATCCAATCGGACGGACATCTTTGGAGCCGAAGCGGAAGAAGCGGCTAGGAAGAGGAGGGATGCAGAGGAGCAAAGACTTCGCAAGGAGAGGGAAAAGATCATTTGGGATGGACACATCGCTAGTAGGCAGACTACCCGAGATGCTTTCAATCAAACCAGACAGGTCGAGCAGACCATGGCCAACATCAATCGTAACTTCAAGGCTGGGGAAGTGGAGAGTAACATCGGACCTCAATTCCCTGTTCAGCAGGGTGTGCAGCCTCCAGAAGGTGCATATGCTTATGGACCGCCAGCTGCAGGCTTTGACCCTTCTCAACCAGCTCAGCCGGATGCCAGCGAGGGCTCGCTGAAGAGGCCTGCAGAGGAAGCACCGCCTGGTCAGCCAGCCGCCCAAAGGATAGCTTCGGAGAATCTCGGATCCGCTTCACCGGCACCGCTTGCTGGGGGGTTCGCAGGCTCGCCGCCTCCCGGCATTGCTGGTCAGATTCCAACTGGTCCTTCGGCCATGGGACCACCAGGTGCGCCGGTCAATGCTCCCACTGGTCCTCGCATGGTAGAACCTCCTCGGCCTCCTCAACCATCCTACATGCCTCCTGGCTATCCGGCTCAGCATCAACCTCAAGCGCCCGCTCAAGTCAATTCCTTGCCAAAGAAATCGTCTGGAGAATTGTACGAGGAGCACGAGTGGTTGAGGTACAACCCGTATCCCATCAGCATCAAGGTCCTCCTGCCTGATGCGCCCGAGATCAGCCCGTTGTGCGATGGGCACGAAGAGGTGCTGCAGGGCTTGATACCGCAGACGACCATCGGACAGATCAGAGATAGGGTGCACGCGACGAACTTGAATGCGCAGGTGGGAGTCAGCAAGATGAAGTTGAGGATTGCGGGAAAAGCGGCTACGCTCAAACAGACGCTGGCCCATTGGAACTTGCTCGATGGAGATACGATCGGCATCACGCTGAACAAGTGAGCTACGTACAATGCACTTTGCAGTCTTCGATTGACTTTTTGGTCTGCACAACTTGCAACCTGTCTCCTCCGTCAACATCATCCAATTCCCACCGCTCTTCTCCCTCTGTACGGGATGCGGTGTCCTCCTCCCCGCAATGAGATTCGTGATTGTGGCGCACCGTGCAGCTTGGCGTATTCGTGTACCCAAAAGGTTTGCTTGCCCTGTCTTGATTTCTGTCGTTCGGTCAGATTCCCTGCTTTTGCTCTCGTTGTGTTGTTGGCTTTCGCGAAGCCGCGTCGTTGTGAAATCACGACTGTGCTTGAACCTACACCTGCTGAACAAACACAGGATTCGAAACTGACTATGCCTGGATGTGTGAAGCGGCCCGTGGTCAGCGGGGCGCGAGCAGGTGCACGCGTGTGGCGG